GGAACTCTAAAACATTAAAATAATACTTTTTCTAAGACATGAACTGTTCAGATAGCCAAATTCCCCGAAATAAGTCACTTTTTTAACCATCATGACGCCTTCATGTAAATGCCGCGTCACGTAAAAGCTTCGAAATTCAAGCGTACTGTATCACAAAACCAAGAACCCATTCGGAGCGAAAATTTGTATGAATATTAGTTTTCAGCTGCTCTTATACATCATTAAAGTAAAATCTCAGGAAGATCAATAGTTTTGCAGTTTGAATTTTAGTGACGTCATGTGAAAACCAGCTATTAAACATAAATGTTCTAATATAGTTATGAAATAATTTAAGAATGATACAGCACGCTAGCTTGCAGTATCTTGATTTCTTCTTGAATGTGAAATTGCGATAAATAATTATCACTCATTTTATCTGATGTGCCTGTAAACGAATTCACACCTGCCACCAACCTCTGTAAAGGAGTAGAAAACTACACCGTTTTTGTACAGTTGCGCATGTGATCTGGGATCTCTTTTTGCTTATGTTTAAACCTGGCATCATGCACATTGTTTTTAAAATAACTTTCCACAATTCATAGAAAAGGCGCGTCTAATTCACTACAAAAGCTCCTTTGTCTTAAACAGCGAACAGAAAAAAAAATTTGATGATATCGATCGCTTTTAACGGTGCTTTTGTAACAAGAAATGGGACTGTAATTTGCTTTACTTCTCTCGTCTGTAATCAAGTCATATGTCATGATTGATTAATAACACTTATACGTGGACCATATAGTGAAGATAAATGACTTCTCAATTTATTCTGAGTAATCAAAAGCCGTCTAGACAAAAACAAAAAAAAATACCGCATGCGAGAATTTCAAGGATTTCTTTTAAATGATTTAGTATATTTGGACACATGAAATGCTGCATGCTCGCGAAACCAAAAGGGTACTGAAAAATCCTTGTAAAATTTCGGCCCTTTTATGTGTAATGGTAGATTGTGTGGGAGCATAAAACCGGAAATAATGATTCTTAAAAGAGGGATTCTTGGCTGCTTAGCCCGCAGATGAAAGAAAATTTAGACATTGGATCTGAAGCGAGTGCATTGGCTCTCGACTGAGGAGAAAAAGGAGTTGAGGTTTGGAAATTCGTGCGACAAACGAAATAGGCCACGCTGACACGGATCTTCACTTGTTCCGTGTCTGCGTGATTGAAAAGTTCCGCTATGAAACCTGTTTCTCGACATTTTTTGAAATAAAATGTAGCCTTCCACGCTTTAATCCAGAGTATAAACAAAAATTGCAAGGATTTTAAATCTCAGTGTAGTGAAAGTTTCGGAAACAATGAATAATGATCCACGTTCCCTTTCCAAATGTACTAAACGTGGGCGCGTGATTCGAAAATGAAACACGTGAGCGATAACAAAAACTTGAACCACGCCATATCGCGTTATGTTCAAATTTTATTTTGATGCAAGGCCTCCATTTTTTCCGATTCCAATAAGGGTGATATGTGATTCCCTTATTTAAAACTTGTTGTATATTACACTGGAATTTTTACAAGTTATTATTTTGCCTAAAGGTACGAGGAAACAAGGGCTTGAAATGATAATTAAGATTTAGGTAAGGCTCTTTTTCAGGAAACCAAGTAAGTAATGATGAAAACTTGGACCACGCTAAATCGCGTTACGTGTTAATTATATTTTCCAAGACCTCCATTTTTTTCCTATAACGATAAGGATGATTTGTGCTTCCCTTATTTAAACTTGTTGTATATAAAGCAGCTCAGTCACCGTATTTTGAATTATTTTGGCCACATACAAAATTACCTTTAAATGGTAGGCAACCCGAAAATAACAGCTTAGTAAGATAGAAAAACACCAAAGACATGATAATAAACCATAAAGGAACAAGGATGGCTAAGGATGGAGAAGATTGACACGGATTACAAACGACGAATTTGAAAAATTGAGACTAAACTTTTCAATGTACGCAAACCGTGACTGAGCTCCTTTAAGCAAGTTCAAATTCTGTGAAAGTCGGAGAGTTGACCACACGGCTTTGCTTTTGTTTACATGCATGCAGAGTTTAGCTATTATATTTTATTCGGAACATTTCGAAACGAAAGAAACTACTAAAGATAATTAAACATACTTTCAGGAACTCAACTTACAGTAAAGCAAGAGGATTTCGCTTCACCATGCAATATCGATAATTTCGATGGCAGCGAAAATGGCGGAGGCTGACTAGGGTCCTTTAAAAGCGGTTACTGAACGCTGAAACCAGAGCATAAGTTAAAATAGCGAAAACATAACTTTTAATGTTTCATGCAGTAAACAAAACTGACGAGTTCACGTTGATGAAATATCTAACTTGGCAATGTCTCCACTCTTAGGCGTTTTCAGCCGTTAACAAGTAATTAAAACAAAACTATGCCAAAAAGCGCCAAAATTTTGACACGTTAGTAGGTAAAAGTTTCAAGCATGGCCGCTATCGACAGTGTTAAATTATTACATGTTACTTCGCCAACCCGTTGTAATATTTCGCAAGGTCTCTCTTTTTCCTTTCAGGATGTCTTATTCCTTTACTAAATCGTCTTCTACATTAAGCCAAAATTACGGAAACAGTAGAAGGACATTTGTACGTGTAGGACTTAAGAGGAGATATAATTAACATTTTGTTTTCACTTTAAACCGTTGGAACGGTTTAACCACACTGCCACAGAATCCACCAATCGTGTTAAGCCACTGATATCAATTTTAGTTAACTAATCATCCTGAATAAAAACAATTTGTACTTTTTTTTCTTTCGAAAGTTACGATAACAGGTGAGACATCATGACGATGCAAAAACTATCAAATTTAGATCACCTTTCATAAAAATCTCTTTTACATACAGTTTCTATCCAAACGTGGGTTCTAACTTAAGAAAATATTAGCATCTCAAGCGTCAAGTCGGCTCATTGCCGTGTTCGTTCTTTCCTAAAAACATTTTGAGTGTTTCTGCATAATTTTGTACGTCACAAAAATGACTTTAGTTCCCCTTTAAATTTGCCAGAAACATTGGATCGTAAAAAACACGTTTAAATACGACAGCCTTCTCTAAATTTCTCAAATCACTTCACCGTGCAAATTGAGAACTAATTCCCGAATGATATCCAGTGACTAACGGAACATATTGTAGTTGTCTATTTGCGAGTGCATTGGCAGATAAATTTTGCAATAAAACTTTACATCCTCCGTTTAGGCACACACTAATGAAGTGATTAAACGGAATACTGAGAGAACGAAACCGAGATAAACGAAACTAACGAGCTAGAGGACTAGACATCTAGCTTGTGACATGTTTGCCTATCCGTAATCAAAGAAGAATGGTCTAAACACATTGAAGCTTTGTAAAATACAAAAATAACGTAATACTACATGGATGTTGTAAGACACAGTATTCTGTGGGGTTTTATTATCATTATTATTTTTTATTTTGTTCTTTTACTCTCGAACCATCAGCGCCGAAGACCACCCTTAATCAGTGCCATCAAGAACTATTAAGCAGTGACAATATGCGACTGTTTTAAACGTTTACCTCCTTTTTTAACGCAAAGAACCTTAAATATCTTCGTTTACGTTCAGCAAGTATTCAATCAGTTGAAATCATTGGAGGCAGAGGAGGGATTGCCGATACAAATAGAATACATTCAAAACAGTGAATTTACGTCAGGTTAAAGTGGAGGGGGGCGGCCTAACGGGTTAGCTCGCTGGACTCCGGATCTAGCATTCGGGTTCCGCAGAATTCACCTTTTACCTTTCAGTTAAAGCCTTAATAGTTAATTGAATAAGACCTTCCGTACAAATGTAATCTGAGTAACCAGCTTGGGAGGGAGATTGTTTACATGTTTATGGCTTTTCCTGAGACCACTACATTAGTTGTGACTTAGGTTTAATCAAAAGACAAGAGAAATTCTTTTGGAGACGATGATTTCTGGTCGTTTCACTTTATTTCATTATTTCCCCCCTAGCAAGAAATAAGGAAATTGAGAACTGACAGGGGAGAAAACGCCACGAAACGCGCTTTGACGTGGTCGTAACTTTCGCTTGAATAAATGACAAAGCGCATGAATTAACTTCCGAAACTGTCTTGTGACGCCTAGCGGAGGGATTTGAGTGTGTCACACGACTTCAGCTCGTGTCACGCCTTGTGAATCACTGTCGCTTTTCATGTGACGTCATCATTTTCCAAAATAAGAAATTACCAATCCTTCTGAAATTTTAGTTTCATGAGACGTAAGGCCCTCTAATAACTCGACGT